CAATTGAAAGTAAATGGCCGAACAAACGTATCGGATTTCGCAAAAATACAATAATAAAAACGTAAAATAAAAATGAAGAAATGAACAAAATGTTTTCGTTCGATTTAAAACAACGAAATAAACAATTGATGGTTGAGAAAAAATGTTCTCTCATGTTTAGATGACAACAAAATCGGTAAGATTTGATTTTGGCTGTACCATTGTGTCGGGCATCAATTCAATCAGTTTGTTGTACAACAGACATCGTTGGTTTTTCACTTCGGATTGTTGCTCTTCACTTTTACTCGTAAATAGTTCGGCATCTTTTTTCAGCGTGTTGGCACCGTAACAGCAAATTGTTGGCGGCGGCGGTGTATAATTGTGATAACGTTCGGTTTTCATGTTCCAATCCTTTGAGTCGATGTGAACCCGTGAAGTTGTAGTGGTTGAATCATTTGAATCGCTCGATGCACCCGACAATTGATTGATTATTAATGATTTGGGATCAATTTCCATGGCCGAACTATTCGATCGGCTGCTGCTTGCCGTCGTTGTTTGCACATCGCTATCCATGTAATCATCACATTTGAATAGCAACGACGCCAATTTGTGGAACTCTTGCAATTGCTCCGGATCATTGTGGTCAATGATTTCGGAGAGACGTGTTTGCAAGTAGCCCACCGCTCGGATCGAATTCGTTTTTACAATCTCTTCGTATTCAAGTCGTCGGATCAAGTATTTACAGTGGCGCAGTATTTGTTGTCGGCTTGGTCTAAACAAGAATGGGGTTAATATTTAATTTGTTGGTAATTTTATGGGTGTGTAGTATTTTTCAAGGTTCTAAGAATGACTTAGTTTACGTACTTTTTCAAGTAAAGTAGCCAAAAATCATCGAGCCGAAGTTCGGGCGTTGTATTCCGGCCGGGATTACCACCAAACAGATAATGTACTTTGTTAATCCAATCGTAGACCAATTGATGGGCATATCGTGGACAGGGTTCAGAGCATGCACTTTGTACTTTTGAGTAACAATGCTCATTTGAATGTTCACTCTTATAAATGCAAGACCATTTATTCGTCTTCAGTGAGTACATCCAAAATGAGTTGAGATTCAAATCACGTCGATCTTTTTCCTTACTTAGGCTCTGTAACAGTTTGAAGAAATAAATGATTGAAAATTGCAATTAGGAAACGAATCACATGAGGAAAATTCGTTTTAAAATTTTATACGAAAGGTGAGTTTGAAGGGAAAAAAACACTTGGTTTGTACAGTGTCAAAATCAAATCACACACTCACCGATAGAACATAAATTTCGTCTCGTTCGCAATCGATAGTGGCTCGTTGCGTAAAACCTGACTGCGGCACATTTGTTTTGTTATTATTTTCGGATTTCATGCTGTCTGTGTTTACCACTGAAATATTTTGTGTATCAACGTCGAATGAAATAAAATCAGTCGTATACTCTTTGTTTCGTTGACCGCCGAAAATGTACAGCTTTCGATGGCGCTAAAGGATAAAATTCAAATTAGAAATTAGATGAAAACGGGGAAGAAGAAAATACTGTCAATATTCGGTCCGCGCCAATGAAACTCACGTGATGGAAGAGCATGCAGTGTGTGACACGTGATTTAATGCTCATTACTTCTGGGTTGGAAGCAGTCGGATGTGCTTGGTCGACTAGAATTTGTGTCCACGTGTTCGTTGGGATGTGATATGAAAAAAGGCCGGAGAAACTAACTGGATCATTTGGCAAAACGTCAATATTTCTTGGCATCAATATCCGACCGCCAAATACATAAATATTCCGTTTTGCAATGTCAATGCACATTTGATGATCAAATATCAAATTTGGCCCTTCCTCTTGACTTGTGTCATCACAAATTAGCGTCCACGTTTTTGCTTTCGTATCATATAGATAGAAATCACTCTGTGGAAATAGAATGTGATACATGTGTACATGTACCGTTGGTTAATAAATGTCCATACATAATGCGATGCAACAACGTGTGTGTGTGTGTGTGATTGTGTGTGTGTCGGTCGGACTTACTTTTATATATTCTTGTGTTCTAGTCGTGCTATCCAAGTATCGTCCCAATGTGAAAATTTGTGAATTACATGGATCGTATACCATTTTATGGCATGAGCGTGGCGATGGGCCACCATACTGTTCGGCCCGTTCATGGATAAGTGTCCAACTGTTTCGCTTGATATTGTAACACCACAAATCGCTCAAATCCTCGAAACCATCCCATCCGCCGAACAAATACATCACACAATTTGCCGAATCGATGATCAATTGATGGCCACCTCTCATACCCGGACGTTTCTCCGAATTTACGGTTTCTTGCAAAGCCCATGTGGCTTTATAGTCTTGATTTGCTAGGTAATTATCCATCAGTCCATCTATTTAGTTCAAATCAAAATGGATTTAGAATAATATGAACATTTCTCGAAAACTCAAATTTATTCGATAATGAATTAAAACTAACCTAAATAAAAGTGGGAAAAAAATTGGCCAAAAAAAGTGAAAAAAGTGTTAAATTTACCGTTTACTGCTTTTTCAACAAAGTTTTCGGCTTTTTGAAAATCTCCCTGAACAACAAGTGCGCTGTGTAATTCCGACATCATTGGATCTTCTAAAATAACGTTAGTTTGGTCTTGAAGCGCCCGAAATGCGCTATCGTAGCCCTGTTGCCGAAAATGCTTCAAACACAACCTCACCAATTCAACTTCACGTAACTGTTGTTGTCCGCCACATGTGAACAGAGCCGAAAGAAAGACGAAGGAAAAAAAAATTGCACAAAAATATTGTTTAAATATCCAACGTAGAAATATGAAATGAATTGAAATATAATAATAATAAACAAAAAATCACATTTACCATATTATAATGGCGTAAACTACTGCGAACAAGAAGTGGATCGTCTTGTCCAATGATTTCAACGTACCTTTTGGATGAGAAAAAAAACAATCGGTATTAAATAGACAAATAAGAAGTGCACAGGTGCAATTAAAGCAACGGACTAAAAGTAAGATGGCGAAGTGATGCGAGCCGAAAGACAATTACTAAAAAAAAAAATGAAAGAAATATGGTGGATGCGACTGAACAGTATGAAATGCTATCGAAATGAACACATACCAAATACTAAAGTTGAAACTCGGACCCCATGATAATAGTGGTATGATTGAGATATACATCAACGGCATCAATTCACCGCTATCTGTTTTGTGACGTAGATCAAATGTCTCTGGAATGCTGTCATTTCTCAGTCCGCTGTGTGTACGGTGCAGAGAGCAAAAAGAAATTTAACCAATTCGAACAATGGTTGCATTAGTAGGCACATGGCTTGTGGTGTTTCAAAAATCACACCACACAAAACGACAAAGCATCGACTAACAACAATGTGTACAGAGCGTCGTCGCTTACCCTTCGAACAGCAAAAGCATGTGCTCTTCTTCGAGACCGCCGATCACTTTGAATTTCCGTAAATTGCATACGTGCGTCTTCTCATATTTCCCAAATTTGATTTTTTTCACAATAGCCGGCCGTTGTAGCTTCAGTGTTAGAAATTGCGGCGGTGTATTGGTGTTTGATGACCACCTCGACACTTGATTTGATGGGCAATCCTCTCGAATATTTCTTTTTGCGTCGCAAAATAAAAAAGTCAAGAGAAAAAAAATACATGAACAGGAACATCAGAGTTGTGTTAAGTTGAAAACAACGAACAATTATATATTGTCACATCTGAATAAAATAAACAAATTGAAAACGAAACAAATGTCTGTTGGCTAAAAATATCATCATGAAATTTGTGTCATTGAATACGTGCGGTTTATCTCTCTCTCCCGGCATATTATCTAATCGAAATGCATCGTGCTCTCACGTTACGGGCGAGAGAACCGAAATACCATTCGGTACGAAAACATTTTCTCTCTCTCTCTCTCTCTCTCTTGCTCACTCGATCGTCTCGCATATGAAACGCAAATTCGTACAGTGGTCATAATAAAAACAATTTGTATCATACGATGACAAAATCGGGGAATAACAAACGAAAAAAAAAACAACAACCAAACAAACACCAATTATAAAGTAGCAAAACGATTTCATGCATTTCGACGAACGTTACTTAGAAATCGAAATCTCTTTTCTGTATACACAATGAATGCACCACACACAATACACAATTGATTGTGTGCCGCCATATCAAAATTTAACACCAATTCTTTCAGTTAACTCATCGAAAAAAAAAACCATGGAATAACTATCGAATATATTTGGTGCGTAATAAAATTGAATGGCCAACAAAAATTCATTTGATTTACTTACTCTGGTAAATACGATGTCGAATAACTTGAATATTTATAAATCTCGTATGTGAGTTTGTGATCCATGGCTGGTGTTTTTGTTTTAAAATGAAAACACTTCAAATGAAATGTCAAAGCTGAGCGCTCGCCTCATTTGTTCTCGGCGAACAGTTGTGTGTGTGTGTGTGTGTGTGTGTGTATGTATGTGTGTGTTCGTATTGGGCACAATGTGTAGCGCGTTTGTATGCGTGTTTGCATGTGCATGTGTGTGAATGTGTATTGCGTGAGAGTGTGAGCGTGTTGCTCGGCTATTTTTTCTTTGCGCTTGTGTTTGTGCTGCCATTTAGACAATGTTTAACGTTTCTATTCATGTGGTGACATCTCGTGAAAAATATCACACATTCCGATAGATTTCACAGCTCAATCGAAATGCGAAATCAGGTCTGATGTCATCAACTTGTTTAGAATTTTTCTGATATCTCAAACAATGGTTCGGTTTATTTGATAAATAACTTTTTTAATTGCGTGCCGGAACAGAAACGTCAATTATTTTTGTTTTTCAATGGATTTTTTTTCTCGTAAAAGAGTCAATCGATTCCAACATCAATTCATATGTCGAATATGAAACCGTGTCGCCAAATCGCCATCATAATTTTCGACACTGAAATGTTGGCGACCTGCGCGCCAATGGATACACTCTTGTTTCTCGCTTTGATCGCAAACATTGGCCCAGCTATCATATTCAATTCTCGAACGACGATTCTCTATAGAAATATTCGCAGATGTTGTTCTGATATGTGTGTGATAACACACATTTGCTTCGAACAACCAATACAATGGCAACCACTCCAACGTCATGCATACACACAAGCACACAAATAAAACGATAGAGAGGACCAGTCGCATGGATTTTATCATTGACAGTGTGCAACCCCGACAATTTCCATACCGAACACACGAATAAAATTTCGTATCAACGGCGAACGACACACAGCCACATGAACAAACCAACACATTTGCATTCCACAATTCAACTCAGCGCGTACCAACACGCAGCCAGCAGCAGCAGTAGCAGTAGCAGCAGCAAAAAAAAATCTAATTCGACAGCAGGTTGGTCGGGACGACCTTTTCGGATTTGCTCATTCTCATTTCTGTTGTGTGTAGCAAATCGAACGGAATAGCATTGAACAAAAAATTTCTGACACAAATGGTCTAGGAAAATAAGAAGTCGTGATTTTTTTTTTAATTTGTTTAGTGTAGTAGTGGCCATCTAGAAAAGGAAGCTCAAAATGGTAATTGCCTTTTTTTCGCATTGTTATCAGCAATCAACCAAAAAAAGAAGCAAAAGAAAAAAAAAACGGGAGAGAGTGAGAGATAAAAAATCGCATTCAAAACAAAACAAACCATCAGACAAGCGAAACCAAATCCATCTCTATCTTTTCTTCTCCCCGTATTGCCTATTTTTTTTTCCTATTTCTCTTCCATTATCGTATATAACCACGTATATTTCTTCTGCCACACACGATCGATGATTGAATTTGTTTTGCAAATTCACGTTTGTTTGTTTTCATATCAATTGTGAAGATTTTCTTTCGGTTCATTGCTTCTTTTTTTTCGGTTGCTCTTCTCATTTATTTGCCTTCGAAATCGATACATTGAATGGTGTGAAACGGTGGAAAAATGTTACGAAAACAAACATCTTTATTAACACGGAAGAAAATAATGAGAAAAAAGCGAACGAGATAGAAAGAGACGGGAAATCAAGAGAGAGCGAAAAAAAATCAATTGTAATTATATTCATTATTAGAATATATCATAAAATAAAGTGACGAAAATAAAAAAAACTCGATAAAACGAGCGAATGACTGAAACTCAAGTGAAGTTGTATGCTAAACAAACCTGAAATTGACAACGATAATAATGATTGATAAAAAAAATAAGACTAGAAAAAAAACGAATTTATAAAAGCGCGACAAATAGCTCAATGTAAATTGAAATAAGTTAAATGGAAAATATCACCAAGCGAATGATTTCATTGGCAAAAGAATGAATGGATGGGGGAAAAGTAAAGAAGAAAAAAGAACACTGACACTAATGACAAAATGCGGCAATGGAATCGAAAATGAGAGCCGAGAGAGAGCAAAAAAATGGAGAAAATTGAATAAAAATGAAAATAATGATAAATTTCGACAACAATATGAATTTGTTTCAGTGGTGTTTGGTGTTTCGTGCCCATCGACGACAACGACCGAAATAGTGAGCATGTGTAACGTTGAGAAAATAAAAAATGAAAAAGAATTAGGCCCAATTAACAACAATAACAACAATAACAACTACAACAACGACGACGACGACAATCGTATTACTATCAATAGATTCGCGCCACTCCGGATTGCAATGACAAATTATGAAAATTTATTCTCTGCTCAATTCATTTATGGAGCAGAATGAAAATGTGTGAAACAGCCGTAGAAAACGTAAAGCAAAAATATTCGACGAGATTATCGAGCGAAAGAGCCATAAGTTGAATCGATGTACTCGCCTTAGTTGGCGCACGTATCCATCATCTGAAAAATGAATAATTCTTATCTTCTTTTTTTTCGTATTTTGGATTGTTATTCTTCAGTCATTTTCTCAAATGAATTTACACATTTTCGGCCCGTGACCTGCAGCATATAATGTTCATTTCATTCGATATGGTGATTCTAGTGTCTGAATCGTACTCATTTCGATGAGAGAGAAAGAGAGAAGAAAACGAAAAAGAAGAAGAAGGAAAAAAATGTACTGTGAAACGAATTTGGCTGTATTTGTTGCGCGTTGAAACACACGCATTTCGAGTGTGCGGGCATTTGAAATGTGCCAGTGAAACCGAGAGAGACGATACGATACGGGACGAATGGCAACGTTGTATGTATGTATCGGGGCATTTGTATTGGAGCGTATGCGTATGTACTTGTTTTCAAATGGTCGCCTCTCCGTGAAGCGTATGTGCGAGTGTGGTAGTGTGCGCACTTGTGCAAAATGTCATGCAATATGAAAATATATGCATGTCACACACAACACGATTGGGCTGTGTGAATGAGAATGAGAGAGAGAAAGGTGAGAGAGAAAAATAAGAGCACGAATCTAAGCCGTCCAAAAAAGCACATCGCGATATAGAGTGTAATGAAACCAGGAAAAACATGGAAACCCTCAAATTTATCCAATTTGAATGTGCCATCGAAGAATATGCCATTTTCGCATTCAACTTTGCGCTGGCCCCAATTTGCTTGCCCAAGAATTGTGAAACAGATCAATTAATTCAATTTCGATCTATTTTGTTTTTCTATCCCCTAACAATGGTATAAAATTCGAGGCGATTACGCAAAACACACCTTGCTTCATCGCATTGCGTGCAGTAAATCGCCTATTAACCAAATATAGGTGAAGAGATAACAGAGAGAAAGAGTGAAATGTGTGTATGTATGCTTATAATCTTAATCGTTAGCACAAATATTTTCACCGCACAAATATCGATAAAGCGATGCGATGCCAAAGTCTCGGTCGGTTTTGGTGTCGTTACAAGTGATTGGTTGCGATGTCGCATAGCATTCATTTTTCATCCGAAATTACAAATGAAAAAACAAATCGACTTTTGCTCGATTTTCTGTCCAGCTGTACTCGTTTTGTTCCGGCTTCAGATCAATTGCTCCAGTCATTTGCAGTTCTTTCTTTTTATTCAGCTGTATTTTTACCGAGAAATGTCAGCTTTATTGAGAAAATCCAATGATTGTGTTCGAAATTATCAGCGTTGTTGGTGGAGTTTTCTTGTTGTTCTTCTTCTACATTTGCGGCTACATTTTCAAAGCTCGCTCTCTATCACTCTCTCACTCTCAATCTCAATTTTAAATACTACCGAAAAAAGGCAGCCACAATACATGTGTAGTGTGGGGATTATGGCTCTTTTGCTATTGTTGATAACAATCTTTCTGTCATTTATTATCACAAGATCGCATTACAGTCCCTCTACCTCGTTTCCTCTTTGTGCAATGTGCACGGTACACGGTACACGGTACAGAGGGAATGGTTGCGCGCATACAGATATGCGATAGACAATAAAGCTTCACAAAGCACACGCCAAAGCGACAGACCTCAGTTGCCTGCATGAATACACACACACGCACACAATCACTCACAATTTTCGGTACAAACGATGGAAACAGGGAATATGGATGATGAAAGCATACCGAACAACAAAAATAGATTACAAAGAGCAAGGGGGAAATCCCAAAATAATCGTAAGAATGATGAATAAAACTCATTAAAATTATACACTTCGTTAAATAAGCCTGTACTATCGATGGTACCAACACCACCAAAACCACCACCACCGCCATCGGACAGAAACACATGTCACCACATGTATGTTTTGTCGCTCTCTATCTCTCACTCAAATGTGTGAGATATTGTTTTCGATTCACAGGGTGACATTATTTCTGTGGAGGAAGAGAGGCACCTAAATACACACTCTACACATGTCAGTCAGAATAAATTCCAAAATTATCGTTATGCACAAGAAATTTAACTTATTGCATTTTCCGGTGCTGAACAAAAAACCATACAAAACGTTTCTTTGACAGAGATAAACAAACCAACGGAAAAAATAGAGGAGAATGGAAAAAAATGGAGAAAAAGTCGCATTTCAAAATGAAATATGTAATGAAAATTATAAGAATCAAACAATGACGTCGACAACAATGCCACCAAGTTGATGGAACAGATAATGCTGTTAGGTTGCCGTTGAATAGAATTAAACACGATGAATTGACTTATCTGACGTTCAAACAGCGTGCACCGCATTACATCACATAGCACGGCGATAAATGTGCGGAGACGAGCTGAATTTATTTTCCATTTTTGCCGTTGGCTTTATTTCTTTCAATCGTTCGTTCTCGTTGTTCGTTTGGCACAGCAACAAAACAAACCCAATAGGTAGTAGGAAATTAAAAAATAAGAATGATGACGTTTGCAATAAATCCGCAACAAGTGCACAGATCACACACACACACGCACATTAACCGCATCAAGTCATGAGAGTACAGAGAGTCGATGCTAGAAGAAATGTAAATATTCATTTAAAAGTAATATGAATCGGGGGAAAAATCAACGGAAAACCGATGAGCATCGGCACAACAACGCAACAACGGCACATATATTTTCGAAGGCACGACAAGAGAAAAAGACGAACAAGAAGCGTCTCATGAATAAATGACATGTTTAGCAGCCGAAAAAGAAAAATTGTAGACAGAGAGAGAGAGAGAGAGAGAGAGAGAGAGAGAGAGAGAGAG